GAGGACTTTAATTTTTAATTGCCTACTCAGTGCGAAGTAATACCTGTTGGCGAGAGATATTCTGCGTTGGATTTCCACGCTGACATTGATGTTGCTGACAATGCTGGTTAAAAGATAGACGAAATTATTAACGACTTGAAAGTTATGATTGTAAACAGTGACGTAAGAGACAAGTGGAGAGTGCGACGACTGTTTGTTTGATGACAGGAGATATGTATTCCTTCTTGCCCTCGTGCACTGCCAGAGGCATCTGCTCCACTTCTCTACCCAGTTTTGAGAAATAAGAACTCACGCGCTGGTGTTGAGACCAATGATATCAATATGATCGACATTCGCGCAGCGCAATACTCTTATAAAATATTTTATCCTTCCCGATTCTGGCGTAGCTTTAGGTATTGCTCAACGTCAGTTCACACAGCCTTATTAGTTTTTAGGGGATACCGAATGTAAACATCGCGGCATAAAGGCAGCCCCTTTTCGTGCAGTCAAAAGCAGTTTTGAAATCGTCGAAGAGGTAGTGTGTGTCGATTTTGTTGTTGATTTTACAGGTCTAAATCCACACCGATAAGCTCCAATCAGTTTGCTGACGGTGGGCTTTAATCTTTCACACACTACGCTCGATAGAAACTTTTATGCGATACTGAGGTGGCTTATCCCACGGTAGTTCGCACAGATTGTGGGGTCTCCCTTTTTGTGGATTGGGCATTTTTTCGAAGAGTTTTCGATCATTATTTCTGTCCGCCAGCTTGTCAGGCCCTCGTATTCAGGCATTTCGTCCTCTCTTTTTTTCTGTCTCTCAATATATGGCTCGCTGCACTCTTCAACTCTTGGTATCTATCCCATCCCGCACGTGTTGTGGTCGATCGTAACTTTGCGAGGTAGGCAGTCTGCTTTTTCTCCGCTGCGACACGGCTTTCCTCGCCAGAAAAATGGTTTCGGTTGCAGCTGTACGTAAAGAGCTTGAAATGCCGTCCCACAGTTTCCTTATACAGAGTTGTTGACCAGTGCTCTCAGAGAGCAGGAGTGAAAGTCGTGTAGAAAATCGTTCAGCTGTCTGTTGTGATTGCAGCTTCTCATCATCGAAGCTTCCTTGTGTTTGTTGAAGTGCGTTTTTCGCTGCACATAGGCGGGTGCGAATCTTGACTTCAACAAGATAGTGCTCTGAGTCGATGTTAGGACCACGGAGCGTACGTACATCTAAAATACTGGAGACGAGTCTTCCGTCTATCACAACATAATCGATCTGGTTGGGGGTTTTTCGATCCGGAGACAGCCAGGTAGCTTAATGTATTTTCTTATGCTGGAGTTTAGTACTACATATAACCATACTTCGGGCCCCGGCGAAGTCGATCAGCCTCAACCTATTTGGGTTGAGAACTTTTAGTTTAGGAGTTTAGTACTACATATAACCATACTTCGGGCCCCGGCGAAGTCGATCAGCCTCAACCTATTTGGGTTGAGAACTTTTCCCATTTGCGTGAGCTTCTACACATGACTCCATCCTCCACCACCAACATACACTTACTAGTCCTAGGGAAATACTTTTCATTATGATCATGGGAAAAGTCCTGAATGGTACAGTTTGCAGTTCTTTTTCCTGAGTAGTTTCAGATCTCTACGCTTAAAATACTCTTTTGCCTTTCGCCCCACGCGTAAATTCAGTGGGAGAAGAGTAATCATTGAGTAAATAATAATAATTGTTTCGCTAAATATCCTGTGCAGGAATACTTTTGAAATGGTAGCGGTTCTATTATTAATATAACGTTTGCAAGCAAAACTGTCGCTCAAGCAACGGAGTGGCGTGTGTTACGTACAAACATAGTAATCATTTCGGAATAATTATAGATGTAGACAACCACTCCGCAATACAGGGATTATGTGCGTGTGCAAAACAAGTACAGACCAGAGTTTGAAAGGAAGTCACCATAGATGAATATTTATTCAAGCTCAAGTTGAATGAAAATATACCTCAATCAACAAGCTAAACTTCTGGCATAACATATTAGCATATTCTTAATATCGAAGATTCAGAAGAAGGTTGAAATAAAGCGTGGCGACAGTACCAGCGAGATATTGGCACGGTAGATCATGAAGGTCTTCGTGAAATCTTTCAGAATAAACGCAAGGACTTAACAAGCCATAAAAAAGCTAATGTATCGGGTGATTTTTTAAGAGCTTGATAACTTTTTTAAAAAAAAAAACGCATAAAATTTGCAAAATCTCATCGGTTCTTTATTTGAAACGTTAGATTGGTTCATGACATTTACTTTTTGAAGATAATTTCATTTAAATGTTGACCG